AGGCTTCGCGAACTTTGATGAGGGAAAACTTAAAAAAAAAGTAAAGAGCAAATTTTAAGTAATTTGTTTACGTTGAAAATTCGAATTAAATTCATTTAAAGTCTTTCTTCCCCCCTTACAGCATTTGCTGCTTGCATTCAGTTTCGATTTGCATATTGTTCACGTTTCAATTTTCAGTATGAAACATTTACATAATTTACATTGAAATACACGAAAATCAAATAAGAATTTTCATTAAGAAAATTTTAGAGAATTAATGAAATATTAAAAATTTTCCTAAACGAACATTAACTGAAATTTAAACTAAACAGGGAAACCTACTAAGTTTATATATGTTACGTACTGAAGTTGCGATAATTTACTATTATGAGAGGCTTTGCAAACTTTGATGAGGGAAAACTTAAAAAAAAAGTAAAGAGCAAATTTTAACAAATTTGTTTACATTTACGTTGAAAATTCGAATTAAATTCATTTAAAGTCTTTCTTCCCCCCTTAGAGCATTTGCGTGTAGCGGCAATTACATGACTCGCGCTGCTTGCATTCAGTTTCAATTTGCATATTGTTCACGTTTCAATTTTCAGTATGAAACATTTACAGAATTTACATTGAAATACACGAAAATCAAATGAGAATTTTCATTAAGAAAATTTTAGAGAATTAATGAAATATTAAAAATTTTCCTAAACGAACATTAACTGAAATTTAAACTAAACAGGGAAACCTACTAAGTTTATATATGTTACGTACTGAAGTTGCGATAATTTACTATTATGAGAGGCTTCGCGAACTTTGATGAGGGAAAACTTAAAAAAAAAAGTAATGAGCAAAGTTCGGAATTGTCGTTTAGCTTTGTGCGAATCGTGTGATTGCAATTATCAATTAAAGTTGGCGTTAAATGAAATAAAATGCGAGGCAGTGTAGTGTTCGACGCGCCTTTGAGGTGTTTCGCAGTGAGAGTTGGAAGGACTCGAGCGTAAGTTTGATTACATCTAAAGCGGGGCGACAGGAAGAGATGGAAATGGGTGAGATAGGTAAAGAGAGAGAGAAAAGTTTCCGGTTTGTCGGAGTCGTCGACAAATCGTCATTTCCGAGCCGATAAACGCGAAAATTGTTGCGAATCTCGCGCGTCGACAAATAGCAATTCAATGGACGAGGATGGTGAGGAGGAGGAGGAATGCTAATTGAAGGCCCCAATTTCCGTCTCCTCCGGAGTGCTCCATTCGCGTGTCGTGTTTGTGAATCGTTATTATGTGCGAGCATTCATTAATGTGAATGCATGCATTTTCGTTTCAGACCAATTGTCGAGGATTCAAGGACCCCGCCGAATGTGTGTCTGCGTTGGGGGAGGACTATGATCATGATGATGATGATGATGTTATTGAAGAGTTGGTGGAGGGGCGCACACAATGAAAGCGAAAATCCGAAACGGAAACGGAACCGGACTGCATATATATAATTATAATTACCGGCGCTATCCTCTAATCTCGACCACGTAGAAAGTCGCGGATCATGCTATAACGGTTCACACACATACATGTGTGCATTTCCAAGTGCACGTGCCGGAAAAGCTGCTCCGCTTTGAAAATTAATTTGAAATTTATCACATTTACTTCATTATTCCCACTCCATATATAGTATTTTTAATTTGTGAGTTACGTCGATCTCAGTTGAATATTTACATTTTTTTTTTAAATATACATCATCACACAACACACACACACACATAAAAAAACACGCGGTATTATGCTTGAAAACACAAACATAGAGTAATTGTTTTCGCTTATGACCTCATGCTGTATTTTTTTTTAAATTTATTTTTGCACTCAATTCACGGTGATTATAACTGGAAAAACTGGATGTTACAATTTTCCCCCAACGCTAATTATCATTTAATAACAAAAAACAACTTGAAGTATTTTCCATCAAATTAATTATAATTTTCAATCATAATTTTCGAATACATAATTTAACTCAACACTTTTAAAGTAAGTTATTTATAAATCAAATTATATAATTCTAAAACGAAATATCCTGTGTTTATAATTTATAATTTGGTCATTTGTATGCAAGCGGCTTAAGTCCTGTTGGGGTCATTCGCCCTTCGTCTGTTCTCTGTTTTTCATTTAACTATGTTTTGATGCGCTCACTAAAATTTCTATTTATTCTATTTCTCAGTTTAGATTTTTGTTGTTGTATAATTGCATTAATTATTGTTTGGATTCATATACATTTCATCTTTGTATTTAATTACGAAAGCACTTCTAGGTAAAACATTCGACTTAGAATTGTAATTTTATCAGAGAACAAACTTTCTCAAATTTTTAGTTAAACACAACTACGTATTTCTTCGTTCTGAGCCAAATTTTCTTAATACTGAAACACTTTTATGTTACAACTAATATTTACTTTTCTTTCACGAAAAAATACTTACTCACTTACAGATTTGTAAGCCATTGTTTACGAAAGGAAAAATTATATAGAAATATTTGTGTGTTTTCATAAATTTACAAAAATTACGTCTCTTATCTCGCGTTTGATAATTGTTTCCAGTTAAAACTGAAATGCATTGTTAAAACTTATACACTGTAACAGCTAAATCTTAATCTGCGTGCATTCGTCGAGTGTAAATAAAAGCTGCTTTTCCTGGTCGGCTTAATGTGCATTAATTTCATTTCCATTTACAAACTGCACATGTAACACAAATAAAACAGAGCGTTGCACAAAAAAGGTGTATAACAATTGTTGTTGTTATTTTTTGAGAGAAAGAGATTATCAACTGCAGTGGAATATTATTTTTATTAATATTTTTCCAATTGAACTTTATGCATGTTGCACGCGCTGCTTGGTTTTCTCTCTTCTATTTTTTTTTCTCTCATATTATCAATTATTAACGCAACAGGACGTCGATATTGATTACTATTGCCAGGCCGGAGGAGAATGGGAATAAATGGTCGCAAAATCCGGGGCTCCGCGCGCTGCGCATCGCTATTGTTTTTAATTGCAACAAAACAATAATCGATGCACACAAAATAGTACCCATCGGATGGAACAGTTGAAAACGTTTTCCATGGCACAGCTCGCATTGTGTACAATATATATATTGTGTTGCTATGACCAATTTCTATAAATACAAAAACCCGGTTCGTTACGACTTTGTTTTGGTTTTATGTTTTTTTGTTGTTGTTGTTCGTAATTACTCCGTTGGGGGGACAAAAATGGAGCAGAAGTATATGTTTTGTGCGATCAATTGCTTCATCCTCAATAACCAATCCAAAGGCTAGATAATAAATCATGTAATCAAGTATGGCGTGGATTTGAAAACAAAGAATTGTAAAAAGGGTTCGATAATAATGCTTAAAGAGAGAAATCGTTGAAGTTGATAATAAAGAGAGAGAGAGGGAGAAAAAACTTTATTAATATTCGGAAATATACGCACAGTATCTTGATGAAAGCTAATTAATGGGAACGAGTTGATTGCATGACCGATGCTAATGCCCGAGGGGAGAATGTATTTTGTTCGAAAAGTTTCAGGGTAAATTGTTGGTTTTTTTGTCATTTTTTCGTTCGTTTGATTGAAGAGATATGTCAAAATTATATTTGTAATTTATAATAAAACTTTCTGTATTTGTATCCAATATATTACCATACAAATAAAATACAAACATTAATGCTAAATACAATAATAATAGTAAAATTTATAACAAAATTTAAGAATAATCAACACGTTTTATTTTATAATATATAATAGGTACTAGATTATTTTTTCTGAAAAAGATAATAACTAATTACCTTAGTAATTAAAATTCCATAAAATTGTAATTTTCTGCTTAGCAACAAGAAATTTGTTTGTTTCATTCTTCTTTTGTTTTCCAGAAAGTCGGTGGGAAGGAAGTGGAAACGCTTAGCAACAACAACAAGAAAATAATTTGTTTATTTGTTCTTTTGTTTGTTGTTGTTGTTTTCTTCTTCATGAATTGATCCAACAAGATTTTCAGTTTCCTTTACTGTTCTAATTATTGTGTTATCTGTGCGGGCATGTAAACCAGGCTAATGATTAAATTAAACGAAAAGTATGTGGCTGCAATTACTTTAAAAAAAATGTATGATTTGAATTCATCGTTTGTTTACGAAATTGATAGGAAATTGATTGGTAACGATGTCTACTGCGTTTTATCGGAACGAGATAAATGTTGGTATTTATGTGCGACTTTGTAATTTCATCAGTGACCTTAGACATTCGTTTCTCCTCTTTTGGCTGCAGTCTGATTGAAATATTATGAAAGCGCGCGCGCGTAATTAATGACGGTCCGTCTAGAGTTTCACGAAAATAAATATTAAAAAAAATAACTAATTGATAGTAGTGACTTGTTGGTAACGAAGTAATAGATCGTGATGATTTTATTAAAGTATGTTTTGTTTTAGGTGGATTGGATTGGATTCTTTGGAGGATACTTACTGAGTTGTCGCTTTGTGGATTTTGATTTACCGGTTAGTGCTTATTTGGATAATTATTTTTTTTTTGGGGCAGGTGAAAATTAAGAGATGGAAATGTTTGTGGGAATTTGGCCTGAATACTCTGTGCGTGTTTTGCGATGGAAAAAATAGATTTTTGGCAGACGCGCTTCGGAATGCGTTACTTAACGGATCTCTTTGTTTTTGGGGGAGGGCAACAGATTACGATGATGATTATGTTGATGTTTGCGCGCACTGAACGGAAGGGTGTAAATTTAGAATCGATCGACGTCCGCGGAGTGCGGTATTTGCGTCGATGATGGTGATATGAAGTCACTGGTAGAGAGAGATTTCGCATGCACGAACTAAAGAGTAGAGGAAAAATTTTGTTGTCGCGAGCCGGAAAAGCGGAAGCCATCTTGGATTCGGTCGAATTTTCCGACGTTGAAAAATATGGAGAAGCGGCAGATTTGCAGGTGGAGGTCGACCTGCATCTCGACCGCTACTGCGTCTAAACAACGGTGCGGTCTTTGTCTTGCGCGCTGCTTGCATCATCGATCCAGTGAGCGCACTTGTTTGTGCTTGAACCACGGAGAGAACAAAGAACTTTGAAATCTTTGCTTTTTATGTTTGTTTTGTATTTTTTTGCTCTCTCTCTCTCACTCTCTCGATTCATTGCATGGACATCGCGAGGAAAAGGACCGCAGGACCTTCGGAGGTGCGTTTTTCATATTCTATTGCAAAGAGTTTTCTTGCGAGTTTGATTTTTCTTGTTTTTTTTTTATTTTTTTGGATAGATTTAAACGAGGTATTAGTAAATAAACGGATCAGCTGATCTCTTCGGGATTCTCTGGTTCATTGTTCGAAATCCTCTTTTATTATTTCAAAATACGAAGAAGACGTCGCTCACTCACCTTTGGTTGTTGCTGTTTGTTTTAATGTTGTGGTGGTGGTGGAGGTGTTGTTGTTGTTAGGCGAAGAGAGCTGGTCGAAAAATCACGGGAATCACACAAACGTATCGAGTGCAGCATTCAGTCAGCTGAACACTGACAGCCGTTCGGTTATCCTTCCTCCTCCGACCCTTGCCAAGGACCCTGGCCCAACCCCCGACCTGCCCCCGGCCCACGCACGCTCACTCAACAAACCCGAACCCAAACCCGAACAAACTTCTTCTTGCTTTTCTACCACACACATCACCTTTTGTACCTCTCTTTCCCACATACGCACCCACACGACATACGCACTTCTTCACATCCCTTCACATATAGAAGCCCCTTTTTTCTTACCTTTTGGTCCCCCAAAAACGCAATCTTCGTTGCTCTCCGCATTGCCCATCGCCTTCAATCCCTCAACACAAAAAAAAAACATTCTTATTGTGTTCCCATCCTCACCAAGAACGCACTTGCACGCAAAACACATGCTACTACAACTCAGGTAAAAAAAAGGATAAACTTGTCCTATCTACTTTTAAAAATTTCCTCAATCTTAACACACAAACATGTTCCATCCAGTTTCAAATAAAACGAACAACGTTCACAAATTAAATAAACACACAGCAATATACAATATTATTATATAAAAAACGGTTTCCAATAGATAATTATTTGTTTTCATGCAAAACCTCAATTGCTTTTACTTTCTAAACCAATCATATTCATTCGCATATTCCATAACTTTTAATAGTTTATTTATTTCAGGCAAATGCATTTTTATTTCTGCTGATTTCAAATGTATAACAATTATATAATTTTCAGTTACATCACGATAAACATTAATTAATGTTACAACACGATAATCAATAGTAAAAGCTTCAACATTTCAGTTTAATTCAATGGCTACAAATAGTGTTCCACGCGTTACAATAACAGAAAAATTATTATCATTTCACATTTCATAATAACAATTCAATTGGTAAAATCTTCCACTCTATGACAATGTTGGTCTATTGTTTATGTCTACTAACTCGAACATGCAAATTGCAGAAGACTGCAGGTTAAAGTAATAAATAATTCATTTTGCATAATGCTTTTTGGAAGCAGAGTTTTAATGACTAATCAATCATTAAAACGCGAATACCAGTTTACAGTTTTTTCTTTCTTCTTAATGCACCATGAGTAATGCAGCATGCTAATTAGTATAATTACAAAGTAAACAAAGCTTAGGCTGTTTCCATAATACGTCGACACGAATTCGTTGGTCGGTGGTGGTACGAGTAGAAGAAGAGAGACAATGGATTGGATTATCTCTATGTGTAACCACAAAGAAGACGAAAATGGCACCAAGAACACTCATCTCTCTGACCGCCGTCGCATTTACATCCATTTCTATTGTTCTCTATAGACACTGCACACAGGTTAAACTTGTTTGCCTGATGCAACTCCGGTGTCGCTACAAGTTTCAGAAGAAATCCCCGAGATTTCTATTTATTTAACATCATTATACTCATTCTCTCTTTCACTCAAACAATCCATCGCTCCTTATTTATTTTATTTTTTTTGCATTTACCATTCCGAAACGAATTTGTTTCAATGTGCACCTGCGGTAATTGGTCTTTGGTGGAAAATCGCAATGCGCGGAATAAATTAGAAAGCATTCGGTGGAAAATAAAATGATGTATTATCATTTGCAGATAAACCGCTTCGATGTTCTTCTCCAGGTTGAGAAAACTCAGTCCTCTGAGGAGGAAAGCGACCATCGTCGGTCTGACTGTCTCCTCCTCGACCGGCGTCTATCTGGCAGTTAAAGATCCCACGGATCTTTCATCCACCATCGGCGCTGGCATTAGGTTTCTACGGTACGTATATTAATTGCGTTTACAGCTAAATTTAATTATTTCCATAACTAGTTTATATTTCATTAAACAAGATTCTTAGCAAAATAAGAGCATAATTGGTATACTTTGGTAAGAGGCTATTTATTGTTTCGCTTGTTGCCAAAAAATATAAATATTTTTGCTATTCTATTTAGATCTTCAAAAACATTTTGTTTTCTTTATAAAATTTACTTTAATTTAGAATTTGATTTATTTATGTTTCAGATCAATAAAAATCGGAATGATGATATCGCTCGATTACTACATATCGATGTTGGGTTTAACTGAGGGTCAAGGGAATTACGAGTACATGATGAGCGCTACTCATCAGAGAGCGGCCAACCGAATATTGGAGGGTTGTTTGGTAAATGGAGGAACTTATATAAAAATAGGCCAGGGATTAGTTAGTTTAAGTCACATTCTGCCTAAAGAGTTTATCAAGACTTTGACGCAACTGCAAGACAAATGTTTGGTGAGGGCGGACGACGAAATCAAGACGCTTTTCGTCGAGGATTTCGGTAAAACGCCGGATGAAATTTATAAAAGTTTCGATACAGAACCAATAGCTGCAGCCAGTTTGGCGCAAGTGTATAGGGCGACGACCAAAGATGATCAGGAGGTGGCGGTTAAAGTGCAGTACATAGATCTGCAGAAGAGATTCGTTACAGACGTGGCGACAATCAATTTCCTGCTGAAGGTGGTCGGCCTGATGCATCCCAACTTTGATTTCGGTTGGATAGTGGCGGACGTGGTGGGCAGTCTCCGACAGGAGCTTGACTTCCTCAACGAAGGAAAGAATTCGGAGCAGTGCGCCAAAGACCTGAAGCATCTTAGTTTCGTGCACGTGCCTAAAGTGTTCTGGGATCTGAGCAGTCAGAGGGTTCTGGTCACCGAGTACGTTGATGCCATCAAGATCAACAACAAGGAGGCCCTCCAGAAGAACGGTTTCTCTCTGACCGACATCAACAACAAACTGTTCAAGACTTTCGGCGAGCAGATCTTCCAAACTGGTTTCGTGCACGCCGATCCGCACCCCGGAAATGGTAAATCCCGCAAGTTTCTTCTATAAGTTTTTTAGGCACTTAACGAATTACGAATAATTTGCAAAAAAAATAAAAATAAAAACACAATCGCCTGAAACCAGTTTTAGTTCGGAAGCACGAGAAGAGAACGCAACTGGTTTTGTTGGATCACGGCCTGTACCAGCGGATGTCGAACGAAAATCGGGTCGCTCTGAGTCACTTCTGGAAAGCCATCGTCCTTAAGGACCACAAGGCCATGGCCAAATACTCCCTCGATTTAGGTGTCAAAGGTAAACAACAGCAATTCTAAAAATAATCTAATAGTTTCCAATAGCTAAAGTAAATTCGTACGTAAATGGATGCGTGTACTGCTGCAAGACATAAAGACGCATTTTTAGCGCATGATTCAGTGTTGAACGACGTCGCAACAAAGCGGAATAATTAAAGCTCTCTGCTCTTTTAAGATTATGGAATGTTGGCCGAGGTCCTCACACAAAGGCCTTTAAAATCCAAGAATTTCAGGCTCATCAGCAAGTTGAGCGATGAGGAGCTCAAATACATGGCGCAATTCGCGCAGCAGAGGTTCGATCTCATCATGGACACGCTCAAGAGCATGCCTACAAGCTTGCTCTTCGTGGTGAGGTGAGCACTCTCTCGAATTATTTGTTTTAACGAATTAAAAATATTAATTTGTGCATATTAATTATTTCTGCAGAAACTTAAACACGATTCGTTCGATAGCCCACGACCACGGTGACCCTATAGATAGGTACACGGTTTTGGCCAGGGAAGCAACCAAAACCGCTTTCAGCACTGAAAATAATTTCATCAAAAGATTAACTGTGATCCCGAGTAGAGTTTACTTTGAAATACAATTACTGTAAGTAATTATACCAAATTCATCTGCATCTTCTTATCAATTGCTTTTTTTTTTAAGGAATGGAAGATTGATGGTATGGTTTATGAGGACATTTTTAAATATATTGTATATGTTGGGGAGGTCGCCTGACGCGAGTTCGATCATCTCCAAGATTGTTTAAGTTTTATTTTATTGTTATTAATAAAGTTATATATATGTACAATTTGCATTGTAAATAAAGGTTTGACTTGTTCAAATAAAATGTTAATTAATTTATTGGTCTGGCAATACAGTACAAATTTGTTAAATTAAAAAATAATCCACAAGCACAAAGAGAAAATATGAGTGTGACTGTGTGAGAAAACAGTGTGTGTGTGTGTATGTATGTATGCACGAGTGTGTTTGACGAGAACACAATCCAATTACCTATAAAAAGTCCATCATGAAAGTATTGCAATTGACCATAAATTAAGCAGTTTTCGCACGGATCGCGGCACGCTTCGATGTGACGGCCTGAAAAATAAAGAGATTCGATTGGTGAGTGAAATGAAAACGAAAAAAACAACGAAAAATCTTACCTGGAAACCTGATTTGATGCTGGCGACCGAACACCTGGACCCGCAGGTTTCGCACTGCAGGAAGAATAACCTAGTGTCCTTCTGCAGGATGGTATCGGGGGAGCGGCAGGTGTGGCACGTAACGTATTCCTTAATATATCTCCTTAATACATTTTCTATTTGCTTCTGCTGGAAACGGCCCTTGATGATGAGCTGACTATTGCCGTCCACGGAACCGCTCGTACCCAACTCGGCGAGCAGGAAATCGAGCAAATGCTTCGGCTGCCTGTGCAGCGTCTTGCAGATTTCGGTGAAATTGGCAAAGGACGTCTTCTTCGTTCCTATCCTGACTACCTGCGGTGGCTTCATCACAAACTTCTGTTTCTTTCCCGCCACCATATCAGGATTCTTGTCTCTCATTATCTCGAATACGCGATTCAGCAGCTCCTCGTATGTGTAATCTCTGTCACTCGACATCCATTGAACAGAACTCTCGTCGACTATATTCATCAACAAGAACAAACAAACAATTAAACACTCGCAAATCTCAGCGGGCAGACGACACGCATCCTGTACATAACAAACTCATACCTTCATCTGGTAGTCTTTCAACTAAGCAGCATGCAAATACAATTCAATTTACACCACATATTCTTAGAGACTAACACATATAGAGCGAATATCTGTAATTACCATTTTCTTTGTCTTCCTGCTTATCATCAGCTTCAGCCATCAGTTCATCCAAGTCCTTCTTCTTCTTTTTCTTCTTCTTGGCTTTGCTGAAGTCCAATTCCAGGTCAAAGTTATCGTCCATGGCCACATCATCCTGATTTCCACCTTCGCCTTCACCTTCCTCTTTGTCTGGCAGAGCGTTGTCCAGGTCATCCAAGTTGAAGGTTTTCTTCTTCTTCTTTTTCTTCTTCAAATCTAGATCCAAGTCATCCACATCATCTTTGAAGAGTTCATCTGCAGCTGAGGGCGCAGATTCAACGGTATCGCCTTCGGCCAAGGCGGCGTCGATGTCGAAGGTCTTCTTCTTCTTCTTCTTTTTCTTCAAAGTTGGATCGAATATCTGTGCATAGGTCAAAGAGGAACATTATGGTAGCAACAAAAACTCGTACAGCGCACAGGCATAACCTCCAAGCCAATAATGACAGATGCTATGTACGTATAATGCGAAGTACTTACCGAATCCTCCTCAGTCATTTTGATGTTAATTTGATCCGCGCGAAGACACCTATTTAACAACAACTAGACTGTATCTAGTAACCGGCTGCAGACCAAAGTATTTGGCCAATTTGTTCGGTGAAATTATTGCATCAGCCTTTCGCTATGCCACATGTGATTCAATAAGGATCGATACAGTGCTACCATCACTGAAGTCACCAACAAACCAAAGAACTATCAGCTTCTTTTACAAACGACAATTGACAATTCCAAGAACCACCGAATCTTTAAGAATTAAACCAATTATAAATAAGACTTCAAACGCATATTTACAAACAAAGCAATATAAATAATGTTTGGTATAGCTGAAGACATTTGGTAGACCTGATCTTTTTGTTTTGACATCTCTCAGTTGGCTTGTCAATGTCATCTGTCAGTGGTGGTGTGTTGTTGGTTTGATGCAGGAGGCAGGCATACAGGAAGAGACAGAGGATTTTTGTAGATTGCTTTGATAGACTGAAGAACAACTTCCATAAACCCTCAGAATGGCGAATCCCAGAGGAAAACGCAACTAGCCACAGGGATGTCCCCTCTAGATTGATCCTTTTTACTTGATGTTTTACTTTTTTACTTTATTTATTTGCTTGCCTCATTAACTGAGTCTGAGTTCTTTCGGCTGTTAAGGTAATTGCTCTTCTTTCTATGTACGTAATCTACATGTTTAATATATTGATTTAATTTGATGAATGGAACATATATATATTTATAAATAGAAAATTATTTTTTGGCTTAGATAAACAGTTATTTGATTTGTGCCAGCTTTGTTTTGAACACATTAAACTTTTGTCGTTCCTTCGGTGGGGCTGACAGCTGTGTTATTTTATCTGTCTCTGTGCCATCACTCTCTCCCCTTTCATCTCCTATCCCTTTGCCATACATTGAAATTTGTATGGATGTGTGTATGTATAAACAGCCTGAGCTAATCTCATTACTTAGAGCCATAAATTTAGATTAATTATCTTTTATGTATTTGTTTATTTACCTACACCTCCATTTATTGGAGATAAACCACTTCATTTTGTTGCAGACTATGATAAATGACATTTCCCTGTTGCTATCAGGAAACAAGATTAATATATATATATAAAAAAAAAGCATTGTACAACAAGATATTAATGTTTGCATGCCTAGTGTACATATACATTATTTTTAATTATCTCGCATGCTTTGCGGATATTAAATCAACATTTAGAGCGTTTCTAAACGCGCCGATTTCCGTCGAAACAGATTACCTTTTCGCACACACATACAGCATAACGAAGATATATTGGTTCGTTTTATTCGCAAAATATATCCAATTTATTTAAAGAGAAGAAATTCACCTAAAACTAAATTAAATAATATTATTGGAACTCACTGTTTCGAAATTTAGGTGAATCAACTCCAATTCCACTGATAAAATTTAAAATAGCTTCGATGTTTGTCGTTCACGGAACTAAACTGTAACTGGTTTAAGTAAATGCGTAAGATTTACGTAAAGATGGTATTGATATGGAGTCGTAATGTGGGAAACGTTTCCACAAATACAATCACTTCGGCAATTAGTAATACGTACTAATTCCGTTTGCGTCCGGTTCGTCCTTGGCTCTTTTCAAATTCCCAGTTTTACTAATGTCCCTGCATGAAGAAGTCGCCTGAAAATGTGCAGTGTACTAACATCCCTTATGTTTCTATCCCTTAAGGAAAAGTACATGAAAAATTTGGGGGTGTTTCCTCTCGATATCATTATACATTATTTTGATTGTTTTTTTTTTGTTGGTTTCAGGGTGAAGACGAAAAATATGTTCGGCCTATTCAACGGGGCTTTCTCATCGTCGGGGGCGGGTTACATCCCCGAGATGGAGCAGATCATCAGCCAGCTGGAGCGAGGGACTCTGGTCAGTAAGTATTCCTGGCAGAAGAAGGTCGAGAACAAGAGCCTGAGCATTCGGAGGGAAACCAGGCAAATCGTTTGGACGAGAACGACGTCCGGACCGAAGCCGACGTACGAAGGAGCCGTCGACATTAGGGAAATCAAGGAGATCCGAGCCGGAAAGAATTCGAAGGATTTCGAGAAGTGGTCGGAGGAGAGCAAGAAGGTGGACTCCAAACGATGCTTTGTTATATTCTACGGTTCCGAATTTAAATTGCGAGTTCTTAGCATCGCAGGTAACGATTTCCTATTTGCACCATTGCAGTTTTAGATTGTTTTAAATGTATATATATTTTTTTTAGCTCTTTCCGAGAAGGAATGCGAGCTATGGTTGAAGGGTCTTCGGTATCTGGTGAAAGACACCGTGACTGCTCCGTATCCGTTGAAGGTGCAGGGCTGGCTGAGACGTGAGTTCTACACCATGGAGAATCCTCGAGAGGCTGTGACTCTCAAGGAGATCAAATCTTTCTTGCCCCGTTTGAACTGCAAGATACCCACCAACAAACTGAGAGAGATTTTCAACGATGTGGATGCGAGAAAGAGGAGCGAAATCGGTTACGATGATTTCTCCGCTCTCTACCACAAGTTGATCTTCAACGAAAACGTAATATTTCTCTTCTCGTTATTATACATTTTCAAGCATTTTTTCTAATATTTTCTATTTCGAATTTTTTTCTTTGAAATAGAAAATAGTTTACCGTGGTGTTCGAATGGATTGTATAAGCATTCTATTATTATTTCTCCTTTATATATCATCTTTCGACATTAAATTTGAATATAAGTGCTGAAGCGTAACGTCTCGCTGGAGCCGAAACTGGGTCGCGACATTTCAGAGCCTTCACATTTAACAACAATGGTGTCAACGCTTATTTATGAAATCTCATTATTGATTTTCCAGTTATTGTATACTCTAATAGTTCTTAAAAACTGAATTTGACTTCAATTGGAGATTACGTAAATCTGAGATTCGATCCATTTATATTATAAGATGTTAAAATACTAATTTTATAATAATAATATCAATGTGCTAATTTTATATTTCTTATTGTTTGCAGAATATACAAGATATCTTTGATAAGTACGATGATTACTGTGAGAATCGCACGCAGTTAACACTTCAGGAATTTCAAAGTTTTTTGGTATCCGAACAAAAGGATGCTTTGGGCAACGACGAAAGAAGAGTCTCAAAATTTATTTGCGATTTCTTGAAAGTAAGTTTGTTTTGTTTTGAGCATATAAACATAGTATTATTATATATACTAAATATGTATTGTTTTTAGGATCCACAGCGTGACGTGCAGGAACCTTTCTTCTTGATCTCGGAGTTTATTGATTATCTTTTCTCAAAGCAGAACGATCTTTGGGATCCGACCAAAGATATCGTTTATCACGATATGTCGCGGCCTCTCTCTCATTACTGGATCGCTTCCTCTCATAACACGTAATATTGATTATTTGTTATTGTTGTAGAATAAGATTTGATGGGGAGTTGTTTTTAGGTATTTGACTGGTGATCAGTTCTCTAGCGAATCTTCGGTGGAGGCGTACGTGAGATGTTTGAGGATGGGATGCAGATGCATCGAATTGGATTGCTGGGATGGACCTGATGGTATGCCCTTCATTTACCACGGTCACACTCTGACGACGAGGATCAAGTTTATGGATGTGATAAAGACGATCAAAGAGCACGCTTTTGCGACTTCCGAATATCCTGTGATTCTGTCGATCGAAGACAACTGCTCTCTACCGCAACAGCGGAACATGGCCACGGCCATGCAGGATGTATTCGGGGATATGCTTTTGACGCATTCGGTGGAAAGGAACGAGAAGCAACTGCCGTCACCAAATCAGCTTCGCGGAAAGATCATTCTTAAGCACAAGAAGTTGCCGGAGGGCCAGGAGGAAACGTTTCTAGTCAGGAATGAGGCGAACGATATGGATCTGAGGAATTCCCTGAAGAACGGTATCATGTACTTGGAGGATCCGGTGGATAGGGATTGGAATCCGCACTTTTTCGTGCTCACCCAGAGCAAGCTGTTCTACATCGACAAGTACAAGCAGGATCAGGAGAGCGATAGGTCAGAGGATGAGGACGAGGCGCCGGTGTTTCATCACCACAAGACGGACGTGCCCAACGAAGAGCTGCATTTCAGCGAGAAGTGGTTCCACGGTCGTCTGCCCAAAGGCAGAGAGGAGGCTGAGCAACTGCTGAAGACTTACTCGAATCTGGGCGATGGAGATGGGACCTTCTTGGTGCGCGCGAGCGTCACGTTTGTTGGCGAATACAGTCTCTCCTTCTGGAGGAACGGCTCTGTGAATCATTGCAGAATCCGATCTCGCCAAGACAAGCAACAAACCAAGTATTATTTGACTGATACCAAGTATTTCGATAGTTTATATAGTCTGATCACGCATTACCGCACACATCCACTGGTCACACCTGAGTTTTCAATAATTTTAAAAGATCCGGTGCCGCAGCCGAACAAGCACGAAGGTAAAGAGTGGTACCATCAGCAGACCTCGCGAATTCAGGCGGAGGAGATGCTGAAGCGCGTCAGAACTGAGGGATCTTTTCTTGTTCGCCAGAGCGAAAATGATCCCAACTCTTACACCATTAGTTTCAAGTATGTTCGAAAACATCATCACCATTCATAATGCATACTTATAACATCAAAATTTGCTTTAGGGCCGATAAGAAGATCAAGCATTGCAGAATCAAGAGGGAAGGCAGATTGTACACCATCGGCAACGTGGAATTCGAAAGTCTTGTCGAGTTGATCAACTACTACAAGCTTCATCCGCTTTACAGGAAAGTCAAATTGTGCTATCCGCTGAACGAGGATTTCCTCAGAAGGATGGGAGCGGTAAGTTATTTCTTTACAATTTACAGTTATACGTTTCAAGAAATTAATATCAACATTACACATCACAACCGTGTGCATGAAAGACAGGAATTTATAAAAAATCTTACAGTAATTTTACTTGTAATGTACACAGTTGCACTTGTTTGGTTTTCCAATAAATCGGATATTTTATTGAAAAATACCTTATTCGTACCATAATACACTTTCAAAAAATACAAAAATCGTCATGCTGAAAATTAATTTCATTGCAACATCAATTAAATTAACTGAATATACAAATTGTCGGTGTTGTTTCAAAGAAATAACCATTCCGATGTTGTATTTATAAATGACCATGATTATGTGGGATGGGGCAATAATTTTAGAAACAATTTTCTGGGATAGTCCTTCCAAAGAGAATAACGGTAAATGTCTTCGAAGATGATTACATACACATTCCCTCGACGGACACCCGAAACCCGTTTTTATTCCGTCGTCGTTATATTTTTTTCTAAATTCTTCTTCCAATCACGCCGGATTGTTTCTTGGAGCGGAAGAATTAGAACCGTAGTTTAATCCCCCACATTAGGTCGATGAACCGGACGGCCTTGACTATTATCCCTTATCCACGTATTCTATTACGAATGTATAAATACGAGATACAGATCTAAACCGTCGACCAGTTCCGTGGGATCCGTGGGCAATTAAAAATTCCTAATTTAAATTACAAAATAAAACAGATACAGAGACGAAAGATAAAAGAAACAACAAACTTTTAAATTATTTTTATTTATCGAATTGGGGGTCGTATAATAATATAGTTTATTGGCGTTTTAACTAATTACGGTCATAAAAGTGTCGTACTTTGCTTATAATTTATTGTACTCATGTGAAAACGAATTTAATAGAGTTTTAGTATTTGTTTAATTTAGTTTGAACAAATAAAGTTTTCTATTTTGTAATACTTGTGGTAATAGGTTAAATAGTGAAAAATAGTACGGTTTATTTTTTTAAAAAAATGTTATATTTATTTTATTTATACATATTATAAATCATTTATTTTTTGTTTATACAAAGGTAGACAAAAAGATTTAAAATCATCATTGCACCAATCCGACCCACATATAGAATTTTTCTACTCGTCATTAAAATTACAAAATTTTCTCTTAAGGCTAATTTACAACTGTACTTATATTATTATAATATATATTTATGCTATTTAACTTAAATTGAATACAAGTAATCGTGAAGAAAAACATCAGTCTTAAGTAGTAATAATAATTAGAATATACAAATGCGGTATGCAATAAATTAAAGTCGTCAAGAGACTCGTTCGTCTTAAAGCTATTTGCGAAAGCATCTCCGATTCGTTCAAGTTTTGTGATCGGAGCTATAGTTAATAAGAATGTACAAATAACTACTTAAAATTTAAGTCAGTCTTCTGATTGACTACGGTTTTTAATTAACTACGAGTTTCAAGCGTCCGCAGCTTTGGGGTAGCTCGGGAAAAACATGAATTGGTTCTTGGGATTGTTTTGAAGTTTAGCCAGATCTTCCTTGGTGGCAAGGAGCATGGGAATCATGTAACGGACTTGTGGTTTCGGGGTTTCCGCTTCGGTTTGTTGGTAGGTTATTGTGTAATCGGGGACTTTCTCGGTTTGCGTTTCGATTTGTTGTTGCTGGACGATTTGCGGGTTGGCGTGCTGGTAGATCATTCCGGTTTGCGGGTTAATGTAGAATTTTGGTGCTGGATTGTAGGATTCTTTCGGGGTTTCTGTGGTTGTCGGCTGGGGTGGCTTCGAGTTGCGGATGATCGATCCGGTCTTCGGGTCTAGGTAGTATTGGTATTGGGCTGGAAGAGGAACCTGGTTGGATTGACTCTGGGGTTGGGCGACGGTTTCGACGTTCTCGTTTTCGGGAATGTCGGGGATCTGGACGAAACTCTGAGTGCTGGGCAATGGTTTGTACCAGTAAAAGTAGGTCTTACCATTGGTTAACATAGTTTTCTGCAAGACCAGAGGCTCCAGTTTGACGTACTTGTACTTTTGATTGGGGGTGGCTCCGGTGACGGCTTCGAATTTCTCGACGTTCGTAGCTGTTTCATCCATGACTGGGGAGATGGTGGTGAACGGTTTCTCGGTGAACTCTTCGTTGATTTCGCTCGCAGATGGTTCCAATCTTTCGCCCAATTTATTGTTGGTTCTGTAGCCGAAGACATCCGCTGGTTGATGCGCGATGTAGAAGAAATTCCCGTTCTCCACGGGTTTCGGTCTCAGAAATTCGGGCTTCATTACAGGCCCGAACGGAATTATGGTTTGGATCGGTTTCGGCGTTGTCGTCGTCGTGCTTCCTCCGAAGCCCAGCTTGAAGAAGTTCATGCATTTCAAACGCAACTCCTCGATGGATTGCTTTTCCTTCTCCTGCTTCGTGAGCACCTTGCTGGGCGCTTTCTCTTTCATCTCCGGGTACTGCTTATTTTCCAATAGGATTTTCTTGATTGTCTCCGTCTGCTCCTTCACCAATTCCGAGAGCGTTTTGTTCTTCACCTCGGCAATGGGTTGGAGTGCTGTCGTTACTTCCATCGTCGTCTCCGGCAAGGTGGTAGTAGTCGTCGCATCTTGGCATTGGGCCGCCAAAATAAGCGTGAAGATCTGCATTGAATGAAAGTAATTCGTTAGCAATTCGATACTCGCTCAGGAGGAGCAGACTTTTCGACTTACCAGCGCAAGGGTCTTCATGTTTATGTGTATGTGTGTTCGGAATACAAATACAAAAAGGCACTTGTCCGTGGTGCGGAACCTGTTTCCTGAATAGCGAACGCACAATAGATTCCAAAATCACTCGCTGTGACTCCCTTTATACCTTTTTTTTGTTGTTGGCTGTGCCTTCCTCTTCTTCGTTATTCCTCCCTTGTCCTCTTATCCCCCACCACACGGAAATCACGGCTCCTCCTCCGCCCACCTGTATCACGAAGGGCGAACAAGAGAGTCTCTACCTGCGACCGAGAAAGCAATTTTGATCTTCCAAACTAATACCGTAACAATTAAAGAAATAATTGATGCGGAGGTGAAGCGGCGTGGACGTGTTGTGGGTCAAAAACCCCGACGGAAAAATATATATATATATATACTTCTTCACATAAATAAAGCGGGATTATGTCGTAAGCTAATACCCATCATATTTACCGATTATTCGATAATTCCCAAAAAAAAACCTGTTCCCAGCAAAGTAATTTGTTGAAAATCGATCTACATTTTATTTCATTTACGTTTAAATTTAAACCTGCTATTGTTTACAAAATAAATGATTTTCACTGTTTATCAATGTACACTGCACACTCACTTTTAATCGATCAACTTGTTCTTAAGCATTTCAGGTAGATGCGTTTGCGTCTTGTTGTTTTTTTTCTTCTTAGTCTTCTTTTCTTGTATAATGTATAATTGAATCGTGTTGGCTTTCGGAGAGGTCAAGCCTACTGATGATGTCCGTGCGCTCGGCGTGTCGTTGCCTTACCGAATGGGTTTTTTCCCATTTAAATTGTTAATCACATATCCAAGACACATTCCGCTTCCTTTTGTTGTCTTTAACAGCAAATCAAACACTTGCTCGTGCGTGAATACTAAAAAAAAAAAACATTCATAAACATATTCGTTCTGTAGGCGAAATTTACATATTCATTTTTCGCTATCGCCAAGTTGAATTTGAACGGAGCATTCGCGATCAGTTATTTTATTCCTTCCCCATAGTTTTAGTTATAATTTGCATATTCTTAATTTTATGCATCAGAAGTCCATTTTTTAGTAGCACGCCTTAAAAACATATATTTTTTTTTATAACTTTGAGAACGAATTACACAAAAACGATCTTATATATTACATTTTAATGTAAGTAATCACATTAATGTAATTAACGTGCGTGGTCATTGAGTAAATGAAACAAAAATTGAAGACAAAGCTTTTCTAAGCTTTAAAAAAATGTTTTTCATATTACAGAATTACAGAAAAAATGGTAATAACTGCAAATCTCATATTACACACATATTAAAGCTTGTATATTTAACTTTAATTTAAGTATATTTGCTTGTAATTAGCATGCGAGATCATCGAGTTAAACAATAAAATGCGAAGGCACTTTCAGAGCGAATTACGGAAAAAATAGTAATAGCTACAAAAGTCACAAAACTTGTGAAATTAATATTTGAAAAGCTAATGTATTCTTATATGAGTTGATGTTATAATATATGTAAAGTGATTATATTCTCTTTTTTTTTTTGTTACAGCATGACTACACCAATCCGTATAACAGTACGCCTTCCTACATGGATCCAAGCGCATTCTCGAATCCCAAGGTAATTTGTGGTGGCCCAAATAGATTACCGAAGAGGCAGTTAAAAGCGAGTCTCCCTTACGTTACTTTTTTTTTTGTATTTGAAATTATTTGAAGGAATGTACTTTATTAATGGATCTCACGCTTTAGATTACAGTTAAAGCTCTGTACAATTACGACGCCCGACAAGAGGATGAGCTTACCTTCTGCACGAATGCCATCATCACTAATGTCGTTAAGCCCGAGCAGAGCGAGGGCTGGTGGCGCGGAGA